TTTTAGTTATTCTGTGTATTATTGAGGCAGTTGCAATTTGAAACTTATAATTCTCAGAAATTTTAGAATTAAATTGTTAAAATGACTAGACTTTAAAATAAGGCAAATGCTTCCTGAAAAAAATTATTCTTTTCCAGTTTCTTATCTGAAAACATTTCATTTTTCTAGGCAAGTATTGCCCAGGCAGCCTTTTTGTTATAAGGAAACTACAAAGGGAACAGTTTCCTCCATATTGAAATAAAAATTATTTCACCACTGATATAACATAGGAAAATTATTTTTAAGTTTTTTGTAATAGGCTTTGTGAAGAAGCTTTATCTTATGTTTAATACACAGATTCAACACATATTTTTGTTAACTATGTTACTTCTGAGCTTTTAACTTAGTAAAATTCAGACTCTACCTGTGTGCATGCAGCCCTACCCATGCATGCATTATCAGAGTATATTGTTTTTTAGGCTTATTTTCTGCCTGCTTATTGTTTAGTACAATTTGTGGAGTTTTAGAATCTTCTATAAAAGTTGATTATGACCCTTAGGATGTGATGTATAAGATTGCCATTATGTGATGCATGAAATATTTTTCACTATAACCTATTTTGATTTCTTCCTTAACTCTTTTTATAGTAATTACATTTTTACTGAGTTTCATGATAGGAATTGTTTTTAAAAACTCAGAATAAGGTTGTGGCTCAGCAGTAGAGCACTCACCTTGTACGTGTGAGGTGCTAGGTTCGATCCTCGGCACCACATAAAAATAAATAAATAAAATAAAAGTATTGTGTCCAACTACAACTAAGAAAAAAATTTTTAAAAAATATAGAATATAGTTGTCATAGAATACTATATATAATATAAAAAGAAAAACTAGAGTTTCTGACTTCCGTGTAGGCATTCTGGTAGTACATTCTAGTTTTGGAAAAACATGATTATTAGAAGTAGAAGAAAGATTAGTGTTAGGAGTTACTTAAAATTATATTAATGAGAATTATCTCAAACTTTTTTGGTTATATAAAATAAATTTTACTCAGTTTTTTCATAATTTCATATCTTTTATAAATTTTACCTTCTTTTCTCACTACTTTTGTGGTTTGTTTGGACTACACTTATTTGCAATTATATATAACACTTTAAGGCTTTTTCACTGCATGTATATCATCACTAATTAGATTGTAAGCTCTTGGAGAGCAGGAATTTTCTTTTATTTTTCCTTCTGTTTTGCTTGTGTCCTTTTCTGACTTCATACTCATTTTCTTGCAGGGCCCTCAATAAATGTCATTAACTGATAAAAATTTATTCTTATTGAGATTTTTTATTCTTATAACTGTGACTAGGGTAATAACCCTTTAACTTCTGATCTTATGAGTTTGCTTGGTTTGCACTTTAAATATTCTCTTTGTTTTGTTTTGTTTTTTAAAGGGTTTTTCTATCATCTCATTGGATATTTTTGAGGTTTTTATTAGAACCATTAATTTCAACCATGATTGATAATCATTTCATAAAGGTGTGTGTATAATTGGTTTTTGCTCTTTTAAAGTTGATGAGCTTTCTCACAAGATTTCAGTTTAATTTTTTTATGGGTTTTTACCACAGTAGGTACATTTATTTTCATTGCCTTCTTTTTCCCTTTTTTTAACCCTTCTCCCTTCCTACTCCTATTTCTCATTCAGGTACTCAGTACTTTTATTGCTGCCCTTCTATTCTTTTAACAAGAAAATGAATTCATTGAATTCTAAGCAATATAAAGAAATAGTAGGCTAAATAGTAGGCTATAAGCCAGGGGAGGTGGTGCACGCCTTTAACTCAAGTGGTTTAGGAGGCTGAGGCAGGAGGATCACAAATTCCAAACCAGCTTCAGCAACTTAGCAAGGCCCTAAGCAACTCAGCAAAACCCTGTGTCTAAATAAAATACAAAAAAAGAGCTGGGACATGGCTCAGTGGTTAAGTGCCCCTGGATTCAATCCCTCGTTCCAAAAAAAAAAAAAAAAAAAGAAAAGAAAAAAGAAAGAAAGAAAGAGAAGTAGCTTATTTATATCTTTGATGAAATAAGTCAGAGGTTGTTAAATTTTTGAATTTCTTTATTTGCAAGTGAATCTTTTTTTTTAGTATTTTTATTAGTTGTTGATGGATCTTTATTTTATTTATTTATTTGCGGTGCTGAGAATCGAACCCATTGTGTCACACATGCCAGGCAAGTGTGCTGTTGCTGAGCTACAGCCCCAGTCCTTGCAAGTGAAATCTTAACTTAAGCTGAGGGCTGTCATTTAATATTTTTGTTTCATTGTAGAATTCTAGGTAGTGGCAGGAAGATAGGGCAGCTACATAAAGGGACTTCCTTATCACAGAGAACAGAAAAATGCAAGAACATCAACTCAGCCAAATAAAGAAGATAAATTCTGGTAAACTGACTAAAAAAGATTACTTAAGAGACCTAAAGCCAGTGCATTGGTGCACGCCTGTAATCCCAGCAATTTGAGTTCAAAGCCAGCCTCAGCAACTTAGTAAGGCCCTAAGCAACTCAATGAGACCCTGTCTCTATATAAAATATAAATTAGGACTGGGGACGTGCCTCAGTGGTTGAGTGCCTCTGGATTTAATCCCTGGTACAAAAAAAAAAAAGAATTTAAAATATATTTTCAGAGATTCTTCAAGACTTTTATTCTTTAGGTGTAGTATTAACTCTTCAAAAAGTAGGGAGGGGAATTATGGCTGTTCCCTAATTTATTAAGTTGGGTTTCAAATGTTTATCATTAAGAATATATAGAATTTAAAAGCATTTCTTTATTATGGCAATGTAGGTATGATGACTGAATTCCCAGTACAGTTTATCCTGTTCTACTAAAAAGATAATTAGAGGGCTGGGGCTGTAGCTCAGTGGCAGAGTGCTTGCCTTGCACATGTGAGGCACTGGGTTCAATTTTTAGCACCACCTAAAAATAAACAAATAAAATAAAGGCATGCTGTCTATCTACAAATGCAAAAAAAAAAAATTAATTAGAGGTCCAAAGCAGTTTAGAACTAGATCATGTTTGTTAAGTACCTGAGTCAAGAGCAGATTTAAGTTTTTCTATTCCTAGACCTTTGTTGTACCTCATTTCCCCTGTGCTTTTATTCATTTAAAAAGCCAGAAATGTAACATTTTTTCCTTCAGTGATTTTTCTGTTAAGTTTCTAGGAATTTTCCAGTGCTCCAAGGTGATTAAGTCTGCACTTAATTACTATGTCTTGAAAGATGTATTTATAGCCATAGGTGAGTCCCATAACATGGATTCTAAAGAGAACTTTCTGGAAATATGCCAGTGCTTATTTTCCATTTTAAAACCATTTTTTTTTAAGTACAGAGAGTTCTTTGACAAGAAATTGATTAGCATGTTTACAAAATACAAATGTGAATATAAATATGATTTTAGCCATTGTACATGTTAAACAGATTTGGGGTTATCATGCCTAGGGGATTATACTGTTAATGATGTGTGATGAGTTTAAGAAAGTGGTGCAAAATTTTTTTGCTGTTTTAGAATAAAACAAACCTATCAAGGCTGGGCTCAGTGGTGCAGGCCTATAAATCCCTGTGATTCAGGAGGCTGAGGCAAAAGGATTCCAAGTTTGATGTCAGCCTGGATGAATTTGCAAGACCCTGTCTCAAAATAAAAAGGACAGAGGATATAGCTAATTGATAGTGCAAGTCCTGGAGTTCAATTTCCCCAAATAATAAACAAACCCAAAAAACTGTCATATCTAATATAAGGATGTCATAAAAAGCCATGTTCTCAAAGGGAGCCTCTCAGGTTCTGATTAAAATACTTTTCATTCTAATTCAAATTCTAACATGTTAATTAATTTTTTTTTGAGCAGTCTTATTTCAGAATCTGTAGTCTACAGCAAAAACTAGAAAAGAAGTGGAGCCCAGTGGCACACATCTGTAATCCCCAAAACTCGGGAGACATGATGATAAACAAGTTGGGGGCCAGCACCAGCAATTTAGTGAGACCCTGCCTCTAACTAAAAAATAAAAAGGAATGGGAATGTAGCTTAGTGGTTAAGTGCCCCTGGGTTCAATGACCAGTACAAACAGCAACAAAATTAGAAAAGAAGCACATTTTTTTTTTTTGTCAACAATGCAGTAACAGCTGATAGCCAAGAAGGAAACAGGAAAACCTGTCAATACCCAAGTAAATCAAACTTCAAAGCATCTATTGGAGTAAATTCAATAGCTACTCAAAGTGGCTTTGAGGATATAATGATTTTTTTTCTTTTTGGTAAAGAACAGATTAAAATTTGGTTAATATACTCCATGTAGAAGTCAAGGATAAGCTATTCCCCAAAGAAGTAGAGAAATTCACCTGAATGTTAAATATTGGGATCAGAAGTGACTTATTTTTCTCTTTTATTTTCTAATTTTTACATTTCCAGCATGGATTACTTTTATAATTAGAAAAGATTTTATGCCAGGCATGGTGACTCACATCTATAATCCCAGCAGCTTGGGAGGGTGAGGCAGGAAGATCATGAGTTCAAAGCCAGCCTCAGCAAAAGTTAAGTGCTAAACATCTCAGTGAGATCCTGCCTCTAAATAAAATACAAAATAGGGCTGGTGATGTGGCTCAGTGGTTGAGTGCCCAAGTTCAATTTTTGTTTTTTTCAATTTTGAGATTTTGTTTTTAAAGTCAGTAAAATATACACAGAAGTGTTTCTACCAGAGCTTTAATTTAAATCTTCACCTGTATATTATAGAAATAATATATGTATAAAAAAGGATTGACTCCTAAATATTGAGGTTTCCTAAAGTTTTGCTAGCTGTATCTATCTAGCTCTACATTTGTCTTCAAAGTACTTTAGAAATAATGTAATCTAAAGAATGAAGTCTGTTTTGGAAGATTATTTCACTTTTTACTCTTTAGCTAAGCCACTAGGATATAGAGTACTGTATACATTAGGTGAGAAATAACAAGAGAAAATGACATTAAGGCTGAAAAAAAATTGAAACAGTTCTAAGTTGGGTTTCTATTATGATTTTAAGATATTATTCTTAATACATAATTATTTTACTTACAGATGATGAAGAGAGAGAGCTTCAGATGGATCCTGCAGACTATGGAAAGCAACGTTTCAATGATGTTCTTTAACTCCTAAAAAAAATATCACAAAACCTAAAGTGCTGTAAAATGGAATCATTTCTACTTTGTCATTTTTGACTTCTGTTGTAAAGATCAGTTGTATCAGTTGTAAAGATACATTGAGATAGATGTAAGGAAAAACTTTAATGAAGGAATGTACCCATGTACATATGTGAACTTTTTCATATTGTATTATCAAAGAAGACTTTTGGTTATGATACAGTTGAGCCAAAAATAGATAATCTTTGCATTTAAAGCAAACTAATGTATATTTCACATTTTTTTGAGCCTAATTTTTTTCCACAAATAGACAAATGGGAGAAAATGGTTATGTAGATGTTTTATGATGCACATAGCATAGCCACAGTGAGAACAATTATTCAGCTGAGAATTTTTTATACACTAACATCTTCTTGTTAGCCCAACAGGTGTTCTGTTCTATCTGCCCCTCATTTCATGCTTTTCAGGAGTTATGCCTAGAATAGTTATGTAAAAGAGGGGAAATTGGATGCCAAACACTAGTTAACGTGTACAAAACTGCCTCTCTACTCAAGTGCTAATGTGTTTTGGCATATTAACTTTCAGCTGAGGCCTGATGGAATTTGAGATAAACTTCAAAGACATAACAGAATATATGAGTTATTGTTTACGTTAGTTCTTGAAATTGTGGAATGCATGATGGACGATATATTTTCAATTTTTTCTTTCTCAAGTAATATCAGTACTATTTAACTATAGTCAGCACTGGCTAAAAGAAAATTTTTTTTTCAGAGTTCAGGTCAGTGAAGATAAATTAAATGCCAGATCCTGAAAGGAGCTAAATCTACCTTGAAATGAATCTACAATTGATATTTCAAAGCTTTTCTGGTAGTTTTAATGATCTTATTTAACTAGACTTTTTCAGAACTACTAAATAAGCAATTTTAACAGGTTTTTATTAATGCACACATAAATAGATATACAGTGAGGTCTACAGCTGTTTTATTAAAATAGCTTAAAAGTTTATAATAAAAATGAATCTTTGTAATTAATGTTAGTTAAGAACCCATCAACCTCATATTTGCTAGACTTACACAAAATTGTTTTAAATGCATTTTTTGACACTATTTAGTCAAATGTGTAAGCTAGCTAACCCTTATTTTCTTATTTAAAGCACTTTTAAATAGTACCTCTCCCCCCAAAAAACTAAAGGTTTGGATCATACCAGGATGTTTAAAGTTGTTTAACCCTGTTTTTCAAAAGGGCTACCATTAATTGCATATAAACATGAAATATCAGGCAGGGGATATAGCTTAGTGATAGAGTGCTTGGCTAGTATGTATAAAGTTCTGAGTTTCTCCCCAGCACCACAAAATAAACAAACCCAAAACATGAAATACTGCACCCCCACATTAAGTTTCCTGTCATGATTCAAACTTATAGATAGATTATTCACTTGTTGAGGTGCAAAAATTCTTAGCTTTCAACTGGAAATTATTTAATGACTAGGAAAAGATGCAGTAATTTACTAAAATAGTTTTTTCCACCATATCAAACTAAGTAGTGTTCATGTTTTTGTTAACAGTAGGGTCAAGACTACAGGTATGATGGTTCACATAATTTTTAAAAGGGAGTTAGTTAAAAGGAAGTGATGTATATCCTTTGGTGTACATCCTTTTAAATGACTTTAAATAGTGAAAAACACCTGTTCAGAATAAATTTGGGCATTAATGGGAGAGGTGAATCTAAAAATATTCCTAGAAATATTTCATATTTAATATTATAAAATCTTTACAAATGAAATTACCTTAGTTCCTTTTCATAAAAATGATCATTTGGTTATATGATAACTATTACTTACATAGCAAAATTTCTTCAATTGGCAGTCTAGACATTTTATAAATCAAGAAATTTTGGACCAATTGATAATATTTCTGACTGTATTAACATTTTAGTGCTATAAAATATTATGTAGATGTCTTAAAATTCTGACATTCTACAATCTATATTACTATGCTGTTTTTGTTTTACTTCTGCCTTAAGATTTAGTTTTTTTAAATGTATTTTTGCCCTGAATTGTTAATTTGATGAAAGTTCTACTTCTAAAATCATCACTTACTGGGTTCTAATAAATGAAAAATTAAACTTGTTTAACTGTTTTGCTGTATCTAATACCTTACATTCTCGACTATCTCGTGATATAGTCACATTTTTAACACTGAGATTTTGAGTAAATTAGTGCTTATTTAAGTTAAGCTAAAGCAGAAATGTTTACAGGAAAGCTGTTTGTTATAAGGTGAGTTTATCCACAAACACTGAATATCTTTCGTGTGCCTTGTTCTAGTAAGATGAATCGATAAGATAGATAAAGTTTATTCTGGTACTTAAATTCAGGTGGGGGCAGTCAAACAACACAAGTAAACAAATGAACCAGATGACTTTAAATAGTGAAAAACGCCTGTTAAAAATAAATTTTTTGAGGTTAGAGTTCAAAATAAATCATGTTTTCATTCAATGGAAACATTTTAGTTGTGTAATTAGAAGGTAATGACCAAGAGGAAGAGAAAGGATGCTGGAAAGATAGAGGGGGCAAGACAAGGAGAGCTTGTAAGTTCAGGTCACTGGTACTGACCCAGAAAGTGAAAGTACAAAGTATAAAATATGCATGGTGGGGCTGAGGATATATTGAGGTAGAGCACTTTCCTTGCATGCACAAGGCATTTGTTTTGATCCCCATTACCCCCAACTCAAATAAAAAAGCAGGGGATGCTGATTGCAAGGAAAATATAATATGTCTTCAAAAGCATTTCTAAAACGTTGCTAGTTTTAAAAAAGTATTAAGATTGTATCTTTAATCTTATTTGTATAATCATGTAACAACAAACTTTGCTCAAGTTTGAAGTCAGAGAATTTGTTTATAAAAGAAATTGTGAGGACTAGGCACAGTAAGTAGCACATGGCTATAGTCTCAGTGACTTAGGAGGCTGAAGCAGGAAGATGGAAAGTTTGAAGACAGCCTCAGCAACTTAGTGAGACCCTGTCTCAAAAAATAAAAAGGACTGGGGGTGCAATCTAATGGAAAAGCACCACTGGGTTCAATTCCCAAGATAAAACAACAACAAAAAAACAAAACAGTTGTGTGGAAGTCATTTCCCATAATGGCTTACCCTGAAAACATCAATAAGATAAGATAAACAGTGTGATATATCCAAAGTCTAGCTTATTATTTATATCACACGTGAACCATCAATATTCAGTTCCAATTGGGCCACATCAAGCCTAATCCAGTTCCATTTTAGATTCTCCTCTCTATTGGTTTCAAATGTAATTTCAGCTAACTAACAAAAAATAATTGGTGTAATGGTCCATGTAAGAAAACTATTATCAAGAGTAGAAGAACCCTGGCTTGAAGACAACTCAAACATGGAACATGAATGCTACCAAGATTTTGTTTCACCAATTTCCATTTCTGCTTCTCTTTATAACATTCTTATTACCTTCATTTTCTCAAACCAGTTCCCTCCTCAAAGCTCTGTGACACCTAGGAGGTCCTATTTTTCTTAGTTTTGCTATCTGATGGGCTACTCTCTTCCCTTAGTTTCACTTAAAAAAAAAATCCAAGAGAAGAGGGCTGAGGTCATAGCTCAGTGGTATATAGCACTTGCCTAGCATGTGTAAGGCACTTGATTTGATTCTATGCACCATATATAAATAAATAAAGGTCCACTCACAACTAAAAAAAATTTTTTTAAGTATTTATTTATTCTTTTAGTTTTCGACGGACACAACATCTTTGTTTGTATGTGGTGCTGAGGATGGAACCCCGGGCCGCACACATGCAAGGTGAGCGCGCTACCGCTTGAGCCATATCCCCAGCCCAAATATGTAAAAAAAATCCGAGGGAAGAGTGACCTATGCTTCTCACCATAATGTAGTAGGCTAACTAGCCCTCTTGGATTATAGGACTAGACAAGATATATTAGGCAACTGTTTTCAGGCAACACAGGTTTACGATCTATGAGAGAAGGGAAATTTAGGCAGTGAATCCCATAATCACCAAGCTTCCTGTGGTATATAAAAAGATGAGTCTGAGGGGCTGGGACTGTGGCTCAGATGTAGACGTGTGAGGCCCTGGGTTCTATCCTCAGCACCACATAAAAATAAATAAATAAAGATATTATGTCCAACTACAACTAAAAAATAAATGTTAAAAAAAAATGACAGAGTCGGAGCAGAGCACAGGGTTCTGCTGACTTGAGGACATGGAGATCATCGTGGGGGATAGCTCAAACAGTTGAGATCTATCTAATGCGTGGGACACCAGAAAAATCCAGAAATACATATAGGGGTTCCCATAAGGGAATACATATTGGGCTATCCCTGCTCAGATCAAGACCACCTGATGTATAGTTAGAGTGCTTACCTAGCATGTGTGAGGCCTGGGTTCAATCTCAAACACAGAATGGAAAGAAATGAAGGAAGAACTGCTCTAACAAAGCCTAACATTAAGTCCTGAAAAGACTGATAGAGGAAACAAAATGGGAATTGCATTCTGCCAAGTTAAAATTTGAAAAATTTTTGGGTTTAATATGAGCTAACAAAGTAAAAAATAAGTATATTCAAGTTTGGTGACTACTCAGTAACTGGAATGTCTTCTAAAACAAGCAGCAGCAATTTTCAGCTAAGATAACAGAATCCAGTTGGACACAGTGGCCCACACCTGTAATCCCAATGACTTAGGAGGCTGAGGCAGGAGAATCACAAGTTTAAGGACAGCCTTGACAATTTAATGAGACCTGTCTCAAAATAAAATGAAAAGAGGGGCTGAGGATATGGCTCAAGTGGTAGTGCGCTTGCCTGGCATGCACGGGGCACTGGGTTCGATCCTCAGCACCACATAAAAATAAAATAAAGATGTTGCGCCCACCGAAAACTAAGAAATAGATATTTTTAAAAAAATGAAAAGAGCTGGGGATGTAACTCAGTGGTAGAACACCCCTAGGTTCAGGCCCCAGTACTTAAGGAAAAAAAAGAAAAACAGAATCCAGAGTTTCTACAAGGTATTACACTTATCCAGTATTCATGAAAAATGACTAGATAACATACAAAAAACCAAAATGCAATTCATGGTTTCAAAAAATTGATGGCCTAGCATGTTGGCACACAACTCTAATCCTCTAGCTACTTGGGAGGATGAGGTAAGGAGAATCATGATCAGTCTGAGCAACAAAGTGAGACCCTATTTCAAAAAAGTAAGATTAAAAATAAAAATCAATTTATGGCCTTTGTTTGTCATCAATGCAGCTATTACTAAATATTTTCAAAGAATTAAATGGGGCTGGTAGTGGGAGTACACAAAGCCCTAGCTTCAATCCCCTTCTCCCCAGGATCACAAACATAAAAGGGTTAACTGAAAACATGTTCTTTTTATTTATTTTTTACACCTTTATTTTATTTATTTTTATATGGTGCTGGGGATCAAACCCAGTGCCTCACACGTGTTAGGCAAGCGCTCTACCACTGAGCCATAACCCCAGTCCTGAAAATGTTTTTAATGAAGGAGTGAATAGAGGGAATCTCTACACAGACATGGAATTATAGAGAACTAATGGAAACTCTAGAACTGCAAAGTATAATAAATGAAAAACTCATTGTGCTTAATAGGAAATTGTAGATGGCAAAATAATGAACTTGAGGACATACAAATGAAGCTGTATTGTGTAAGTATTTGAAAATACAGGGTAGACAATCCCCAGTACTAAAAACAAAGGATAAGAAATAATATAGGATGGAAATGTTGAGAAACATAGAAATGTGGATTTGGGATTCTTTTCATCAAAATTAATGGACAGGGGCTGGGGTTGTGGCTCAGTGGTACAGCGCTTGCCTAGCATGTGTGAGGCACTGGGTTTGATTCTCAGCACTGCATACAAGTAAATGAATAAGATCCATCAAAAATATATACATAAAATAATGAACATATGCTACAAGAAATTCAGTGTTAGAGATTTAGTCTTCAGTACCTCCTATCTAATTAATTATGTTATTATCTATTATTTACAGAAAACATTTCAGAGTACTAGAGATACTGCACGGACAAAAATGCCTGCTTCATGAAATTTATATGCCAAAGAAAGAGATAAGACATTATTTCTATATTATTCTACACCAGATAATGGTAAACGTTGAGAAAAATAGAATAAAATATTGATGCATGAGGTGCTATTTCATTCTTTTTTGTATTTGTTTTTTTCTTTACCAGTACTGGGGATCAGACCCAGAGCCTCACATTCGCTAGGCAAATGTCTCACATTGAACTGCATCCATAATTCTTTTTAAAATTGAGACAGGGTCTTGCTATGTTGCCCAGGTGGGCCTTGAACTTGTGATCCTCCTGCCTCAGTCTCCCAACTTCCTGTGATCATAGGTATGTGCCACTGTGCCAGACCCAAGTATGCTATTTTATTTTTGTTTTTTGCAGTGCTGGACTCACACCCAGGGCCTCACTTCTGCTATGCAAGCAAAACACTGAGCTACATCCTCAGCCCCAGTGTGCTATTTTAGATAGGATGACCAGGGAAGGCTTTTCTGAAGAGGTGGTGTGAACATTTGCAATATGACTATCCTGTGCATCACTAGCCAGTAGAAATAGAACCCAACACCTATTAAACTTTCTAATTATCACATTTTAAAAATAGGTGAAATTTTGATATTTAACCAATATATCCAAAATGTTATCATTTTAAGTAGTATATGACTGGGCTGGGGTTGTGGCTCCATGGCAGAGCACTTGCCTAGCATGTGTGAGGCACTGGGTTCGATTCTCAGCACTGCATTTAATAAATAAAAGAAAGGTCCATCAATAACTAAAGAAGGGCTGGGGATGTGGCTCAAGCAGTAGCGCACTCGCCTCGCATGTGTGCGGCCCAGGTTCAATCCTCAGCACCACATACAAACAAAGATGTTGTGTCCGCCAAAAACTAAAAAATAAATATTAAAATTCTCTCTCTTTCTCTCTCTCACTCTATCTTTAAAAAAAAATAACTAAAGAAAATTTTTGAAAAATAGTATATGACTGAGATACTTTATATTATTTTCTTTTGTACTAAATCTGATATTTAGTATTTATATTTACATTTATAGCACTTTC